CACTTGTCATAAGTTACGCAATGCATTCCCAGATGCCTCTGAGTGATTCTGTTACCCAGAATTTACGGCTATCCTTCCTTCTGTTGGATGTGTCCCCTTCAATTCTGCCCCAGCATACCCCCTCTCGATTGCAAGGTGATCCATGTGAGAAGTCTTGTACCTCTGTTTTGATACAGCTCTGAGATTCTTCTGTACAAAGCCTGTAACAGTGAGATGCTGATTCTCTTTAAGGTCCTGTAATTTCTGCTGCAGTGGCCCACTGAACAAAAAACCCATACAATAGTGATGAGCACACTCTCTTAGTATTGGAAGCCTGGATTTATTTACCGTACATTTTCCTTTGTTCTTCTAATTAATGTCTAATTCACTAATGTTAAATGGGGAAAACAGATTCCTAACTGTATCATAGATAAGAAATCCCTAGTGTTTTGTAAGACCATTTCAAACGACTATGGAAGCAAAGAAAGTAGCTTGAAAGCTCCACTCTGAAAATAGCAATGCTGACAAATGTGTTGTAAGCGTTATTCAGAAAGGATGTTAAGAAATATATGTGCCAAGGCTGAAAAACAGGCTTCTCAATTTTTTTTTTTTGCATTCTCATCTCGGAAACTTTTCTGTCGTTTTCTTCTGCCAGCAAAGTAATGACTTGAATCCATTTACGAATTCAAGATTGGTGTACGTAGTCAGTGCCTCCTTAAGTTAAAGGAGCTTTGTATGAATGCAGCATACCAATTAAGGAAACATTTTGCAGAATTGGCATTTTAGATGGTTGTAAATAGAAAAATTGTGAAAATATATGGTTATCTGTTATGTATAACATAGTTATGGTTATAACAATTGCTAAATTGGCAAGCTGGGGCCAAATTAAAATTTCACTTCCTTTAATGTTCAATAACAGCTCTTGAAGTGTTGCTGCAAGGATTGTGTTCTTATTACAAAACACACAAAATTTACTAGCATCTATAAATAATTATAAAAAAGTAAAACTACAATTGATAAAAAAAGCACATTTTGTGAGGCAATATATGCTAGCATCTTCATTGAGATGGTGTATTTAATTGGCAGTTTAATTGTTTGCCATGCCTTGCTCTGTAACTAGCATGCTGGTTATCCTTTTGAAGTTGGGTTTCTAATGAAACTGTGTTTTCTTAATCTGTGTGGCTAACAAGAAGTGCCACAGTCTGGTCCTAAAATAATTTTGGAGCATGACACTCTGTTGCAGAATTTTTGTAATAGAAAAACTAGGAGATTCAAGCAAATATTTTTAAAAAGAAATAATAAGCATTGACGTTTTGGAGACAAATGTGAATTTTCTGGGTAATCTTAATGTTTCTCGCAGTACTCTCAAGGTCAATGTGTTGCAATTTTGCCTGATCCTCCAAATTCCTAAGACTTGGTATTTATGTCTGGGAGTTCACTGATATGAAAGTAAATATATAAGCAGTTGGTTTGTAGGATTTAATAATTTAAAATTCTTTTAATTAAACCTTTTGAAGGGCAAGTGGAAAATGTCTGACTTAGCTTCCAGCCTTTTACTGTATTGATGCATATGTTTTACGTTTGGAATATATGATGTAGTTTGGGAACTAAACTTCCAGTGATACCTTCTGAGTATTACATATTGAACTATAAAAGAAAGATTCTAGATTGTGAAAGGGAAAGTGCTCAAGCTTCTGTGACTTTGTATAGGTTCGAACTAGTCTCGATGCCGTTACATCAGATGGAGCCTCCGTTTGAAAGGTTTAACATAACTCCCTTCGAATGCTTATGTTACAGCAATAGTATTTTTAATATAATTGTGAAGAGGGACTTCCACATAGTACTGTTCATTTGCCAGTTACAACCCTGATAAGTTTTGAGCTGTTTCGTCAGTTTTTGCTTATTTTGAAGGCTACTGCATTTTGTTTTATGTGAAAACGAGCATCCTGGTAGATGAGACCGATTTAGTTTCCCTAGTGGGGGAAGACAGGGGAATTCAGTTTTTACCTGTTTGTCTCAAAAGCAGCTGTCTGATCAGGACACTTCGTTGGTAGCCAACAACCTGTATTTCTTGAGTAACCTGGAAAAAAAAAAAGAGGGGGATGTGTGGTCATGGGAGAGGAGGCAGAGGGGATACAGGATGTTGGATGTGAGGGAACTCTGGAAGTATCGTGGTCAGTATTGCGTGGGATTTGGGAAAGCTAAGGCCAGAACAGAGAGTTGCTTATTTCTAAAGTACAAATTTTGGTCCAAGCCAAGTGAGTGTCCAAAGTCATTGCAGTAGCTTCTTTAAAGAAATAGGTTTTCTCAGACCAAACAGCCATGCAACATCAAGTAAGTCTAGAGTATTCAGGAAAACTTAATCAGTTGCTTCTAATTTTGGACTTGATGATCCTTATGGGTCCCTTCCAACTTTAGATATTCTATGGTTCTGTGAATTTTTAATGTCAATTTGTGAGCTAATTTTCGACTTCAGTGTATGACATCATCTTATTTAATGCTTAGTGAAAATGATGATTCTTCACGTACTGACCTAACAGGATTTCTTCATGGCCGGTTTGCCCATAAAGGGTTTTGCCATACCTCTCATTAATATGTAGATGTGAGGATCTTGTATTTAAAGCGAAAGATACTATTAATTGGGTTTAGTGCTACTGTTTTTCTCTCATTGTTTCCTGCAGCAGACATTTTGGTTTTCTTACTATTTTGAATTAGTGAGGCACTACAAATGCATAGAGGTACAGTTTACACTTTCTAAAATGTTACGCTTTTTCATGCATAATTCTTCTCTAGCGTTAACGTATTCCTTGTCATCTTTGTCGTGTTCCATCCCTGAATTAAATATTTTAGTGTAAGGCATTACCTCAGCATACTGACAACCAGGAACATTAGTATTTGGTCAGTTGTCTTTCCATAAAACACACAGACGTTTGTAGAACAAACTTAACTAAAATCATATGATGTTAAGCAACGTAATGTCTTTGAAATGCTGTGAATTTCTAGTTAGACTAAAAAGTGTTTGAAAAATTAGCTCTTCTCGTTGCATGTTATTAATGTGGTTCCAGCTATACTTTTTATTATTTAAGTTCCTGTCTTTGATGTTAAGCAGTCTTGTTTACCTGTTACTGATTTTCCAGAATATAATGCTATGAACTAACTCATTTGCTTGTATGAAAGAATTGAGCAGTAGCTATCACTTGGCTATTGCATGGTCTGCTTAGTATGTAAAAGAGTCGTTCGAATGTTCCCCAGACTGTATGGATGGGAGAGAGGCAACTAATGCTGACTTGCAGCCAGTGAGTTTAAGCATCAGTTGGGGTAATATGTTGCACTTGAGATGTTTTGGTTTGGTTTTTTTTTCTTCCCTCTTTATGAAGCAGAAGAGAGCTTTCTTTGGTTTGTTAGACAGTATTTGTATTAGGGTGCAGTGTGAAATTGCAAGTCATGATGAAGAGGATTCTGTTCACAAAAGTGAGTAGTGTATAATTAATAACTTCAGGAAAACTGGGAGAAGTAGAAATCCATTTGAATAATTCACAGTCAATTCTACAAGAGCTCCATTGGTTTACTGTAATTTTAAGATACTTCATATTCTATAATATTTCAACTGGGAGATTCAGTAATATGGTAGATGTAACAGGTAGAAAATGTAGTAGTAGGACTTGTCATTTGTGGTAAAAAGTGATTTAGCCGGTAAGAACTTAGCTGGCCGTGCAAAATAGCAAAATGTGATTATTGACTGGTTTTGACATACTGATTTCCAGTATATCAGCTGGATTGGTTGCTCAGGCTTCCACAAGTTAAAACTCGTATCTGTGATATTCTACTGGACCTGGAACTATGACTACTTGAAAACAAGCTTAAAAAGGTGAAATTCCTCTTGCAGCTTTTTTTTTTGGAACAGCCACAGGTAGTCATTTAAACAAATAATAACATTTAATCTGTCATTAGCTCCTGTATCACTTAAACCTGTGATAACAGCAATCTAATAACTCTGGAGGATAGTAGGGATTTGCCTTAATCAGAAAACTACGGATAACTGTTGAACATGCTACTGGTATAGCAAATGAGAAAAGGTTCTTAATGACTGCGACAGCATTATTTGAGTCAAAAAAAATTTTCCCATGATTTATTGACTATCCATGATGAGTAAGATCAATATGGGTGTCCAGTTCCTGTAGTGGGAAATATTGTATGTAAGTGTATTCATTGTTAAATTTTAATTGCAGACTAAAATTCTGGGTTGCTCTTGCTATTTTACTGATTAGCACTGCTTGCTTTTAATGATTGCTTACCAATGTGGCTAGCGATGGGTTGGGATGTAAATATCGCTTACACTTTTGTTCTGTGCTGGAATGAACATTAACAAAAGCCTGGTTATGTTGATTTGACATAATCTAAGAGGCTGCCTTTACAGGAGGCAACTTAGAGGAGCTTATTAAAGGGAAAAATGAGCTATATTCTGGGAAAGCATCTCGGCTTGAATGAAGAGCTTCTGGAGTATGTTCTCAGCTTAAAAACTGTTGAGCCAGATATATACAGCAATGTTTCTTAATATATAGGGCAAGAGGCTTAGGAAATGGCTTTTCTATAGCCTTAAACTTAAGATTTTATTAATTTCTGATGTTTAAAATACAGCAATAGGATAAACAGGAGGAGCATATACCATTTAGTGTCAAAATCTGCCAGTCTAAAACTTAATGTCAGATTGTATTTTAATGTGTTTTTATCTTCCACCAACATTGAACTCAACTATAGTTGACTTTTCTGTGCATGTACTCTAGAGCTGATGTGTGTTGATGTTCTTAGGGGATTTTGTAAATATACAGTATTTTAATTTTTTTCCCTCCCTCATTATGTGTGGTGTTTTGTTGTGTTTTTTTTTTTTCTTAGCTGGAAAAGAAGCAAGCAACCCCTCCATTTCAGCCTCAGATCACAGACGATTATGGTCTGGATAACTTTGATACACAGTTCACCAGCGAACCTGTGCAGCTAACCCCAGATGATGAGTATGTTTTTCTTTTTCCCCAAATACAATTGCATATTAAGAAATTAATTTATAAATTACTTGAAAGTTACTAAGAAGAGACTATGTACTTAGCATTAGAACACAGTCGAGTTAAAGTAAATCTGAAATTCTTTGTATCCTACATATCTTGCATAACTTCTGATACTACTTATATATTAGAAGACAGCCTAGTATTCTAATAAAAGTTCAGAATACTGTATTGATTTGCTGTGGAGCGTGTGCTTGGCACCGAGAGGAGAGATGGAAGTGTGATTCCTGACCCTGGCAGCTTGCATGTCTGTACTTGGGAGAAACAATTGAGGCGAAGCTCCTTGGGTCTCAGAATAAGGTTGCGATAGCAGGAAAATCTTACAGAAAGCTACTACTTAAATGTGCTTTGGAAAAACCTTGTAGGAAGAAAAGGTGTGCTTTAATCAAAGAAATTGAAGGCTGAGGAGTGATTGCTGTACACGAAGGAAGAAGTTCCTTCAGATACAAGGTGGCATGTAAGAAGACAGGCTGTAGTTTCGGTGGTTAGATGGGAGACTTAGCTTGCCCAAACTCTTTAAGAGAGTAATTGTACACAGTTTTGAGGGTTTACTGAAGTGTAAAAATTCAGAATTGGAACTTGAACTTCCTTTGGAAAAACAGGAGGAAGCTCTATGCAATGGGGGAAAATGTCAGAGAAGAAACGGTCTTGACTTCCATTTGTTTGTGAAGCATTTAGCATATATCTGATGATAAATGTAGTATCAGAGTGAAGGGGGGAGGAGGGGCCAAATGCTATCAGCGTGAGAACCGTAGTATCTAATTGCTGAGGAATGCAACAATTTCGGGAGAGGGTTCCATTCTTTTTTTTTCTTTCCAAGGTGCATTTTTCTTTCAAGGCTTGAGTGTGTGACACTAATGCTGGATGGCACTTAAAATACACCTTTTGAAGAACTGTAAAATATTGTTTCTTATTGAAGAGCAGAGTAGTGCGTGTTTTCTTGTGAATTTTTTGTGCTATTCTATCAAGAATACAATTAAACTTTCTGCTGCTTACTTAGCATTTTGATACAGAAGTAAAATAAATCAAAGGAAATTTTGGGTTTATTAAAAATCCAAGACTCAGAATCCTGAAATCTGTGCAGCTAGGATTTTTAGGTGACCTTTACTGTGACAGAGCAGCAAAGATTTGCTTGCATGTTACACACTTACATTTTCCCAGTATATTTCATTTATTTATGTTTGGTTTTCCTTACCTGACTAGATGCCCTCTGCTGAAGACTATAATGCATTCTTTTCCAAATGTTTTCAGCCTGTTGTCCTGTTCACCAGCATCATATCTGAAGGAAAGCTATTTCTTAAATCTCCAGCGCTTTGCATACTTCACAATTTCTAACTGAAGTCTGTAGAGCTACTGATTGATGGCGTTTTAGAATGAATATTTGGGTCTAATCAGATGTTTAATAAAGCTGATTCTGAAGTATTGCATTTGGAAATGGGATTTTAAGAATGGATTTATGATTTCTGCTCTCGTCGACACAGTCTGAAGTACTGCATTAGTGGGATGCCCTGTTGGCATGCTGAGGCTGTTGCATACTACCCAAAGGCTTTCATAAAGGCACAGGATTGTCCCGTTCCAGGCTATGTGTTTCTGTTAGTTTTCCCTCTTTGTTGCTACACAACAAAGCTAAACTGCTATGAAAGACAGACAATAACCATTTCAAAGCTTCTTTCATAAAGTGCCCGCTAATCCTCGGTCAACCCCCAGAATTAGCTAGTTGGTCAGGGAATTTTATTTGTACAAATCAACATTATGTGGACTAAATTTGTGACTGTAAAAATGAACACTAACTAGCCATCCATTGAGTCTACTCCACTGGCAATAAATCCACTGTTGCAGGGTCTTTCTCTTGCTGCATTGTTGGGTAGCAGGTGGTCATCCTCAAGTAACTATGTATTTGGAGATTTTGTGTGGGTGTTTGTGTGCCTAGGCGCTCAGGCTTGGATTTTGTCAAAGTGTTACCTATATATCATAGATCTATAGTTCACAACCTATTCTTTTTCTCAAGAGTCCAGCATATATGAAGTGAATAGCTGAATGGAAACCAGAGTGTGAAGTGCTTCAGTTATTGTTTGTGTGACACCAAAGAATTGCAAGGCATATTCGTGCTTTACACGTCCTAATTGACAACAAAATTACAAATACCAAGTGTATGTGCACCTATAGTGGGAAATTTTATGAACATCATGTCGTAAAAGAAATTCTGTCTCTTACATACATCAGTTTGTAAGTCTTTCCTTGGATTTTAGGTGCATACAATATGTATTTTTTTTAAAAGTATTAGTTTTGTCTTGACTCTTGTGTAGTATTTATCTTATACATCACATTAGCAGCCCTTGCTGACAGCAAAATACCAGTTTCTTATTTGTAAACTGGTATTATAAAAAACCAGCCATTTATTATATGCTTCCTTTTGAGCCCTATAAGTATGCATGTTGTCTAACTGGAAGGGCAGATGAAACTTTATTAGATGTTTCAAAATTTCCAGTCATATTGCTTTAGATATTGGCATAAAACATTAGTGTTAAGTATTTGTATGTTCAGAGGCTTAGGTTTTTTCCCCATTATTGTTGCTTCTGTACAACTTCATACATTTCTATCAGGTATTTTGTTATTATTTGACGAAAAAGTAGAGCAACAGAAATAGTATTTGCAATTGATAAAACTAAATCAATGCTTTTAATTGTTTTTCAGAGATATAATAAAGCGAATAGATCAGTCAGAATTTGAAGGATTTGAATATATTAATCCATTGTTGCTGTCAACAGAAGAAACGGTATGAAGGAGTGACATCTTTGTTGTGGACAATGTGAATGACGTTTTAAATTTATCCTTAACTACAGTATATGCATGCGAGGCTGGGGAACTGTAAGATTTTGGACGGAGACCAATGATTTAAAAAGACAAAACAAAAAATTTGCTGCTGAAAATCAAAGAAGAGAATAATGATTTTGGTGGGTGTCTTCTGCCACTTAGTGATTCTTAATTTCTGGGCACTGACACAGCTGGCTTCATTAATGAAGGAATTTGCATTTTGTGCCTGTTTCATGAAGGATTGAAATGTTCATTGCATCCCTGGAAAAGGAGATACTGAAAGACTTTGAGATCCACATACTTTCTACAAACACTTGATGCAATGAGCTACCAATTGAAGAATATTACAGTGTAACATCCTGAAGAATAAAATATATTACGGTGGTGTTGAAGCTTATTTTTGATGCCTTTTTTCACAAGTGGTACCTGTCTAAACGTCTCAGATGTATTTAAAAGGAGTTGTGTTTTATTAGCAATCAAAACATAAATTTGGGTACAAGATTTAAGTGCCTAAATGGATAAACTGCATTGAAGAATTATTACATATTTGGAACGTTCTTAAACCTGGTAAGTTCTGCTTGTTAATATTAAGTAACTATTTACATATGAAACATACAGTTCACAGCTGCAGCCTAATGTTCATTTGCGTCTTGAGAGAATTTGAAATGCAGAGTGACTCAGCAATATTAATTACAAATTAGAATTTACAGTGTCAATTTCAAAATCTGTTGTCTCAAAGTCCAAATTTACCAAAATGTGTAGATTGAATAAAACTAAATTTGCACACAAAGGACTTCTGAAAATATTTAAGCAGTGCCTACACCTACAATGATGTTGTGTTGTATATTAGATTTTTGAAAAGTATTTTTATCAACAATACAAATATTCAGAAATAGAGCAAAAGCATAATAAAGCATAGCCTTAAAGTTTAAATAGTAAATCTAGAATAACCATAATATAAAATACAGTTTCCTGATAAAGCACACCTCCTACTTACGATAAACTGTCTGCTTACAATTACTCAGTGTATATTAATAACTAATCATTCTACGTAAGAGAATGGGATGTTTTGGTAAAATGATTTGCATCAAAGTAGTAAATTTTTTTAATGGAAGAAAAATTAATACCCAAGAAATTGGATAAAGCAAAAGATAACTATCAAATCCCTTCTTGTGGAAACTGGGGAGGGGGAGGTGTCGAGGGGGCAGGGAAAGGGGGTATATTGCATCAAAAAGGTTAACAATTTCTTTGCTTGGCAATGCTGATGTCACTACATTTGAGGATTAGTAAGTGTGCGTTGCTATCTGAGACTTCAGATGGTGTGAAGATTTACCTGCCTCTACACATAACAGCAGCGGAGGCAGTATTTCTTTTTGCTAGATTTTGGGTTAACTATATTGTATGGGTTGTAGAGATGGGGGGGAATTATGTGGGACAGAAGAAAAAGGAGAAACCCTGTGCCATGACATCTCACCTAATTTGGTGTAAAATGCAGGATAAATTGCAACACTTCCACTTTCTTTACATTAACATATGGTTTTCTCAGGGTACAGCATTGCATTAGGTGCTGAACATGACATCTTTCGGATTCACATCCAAGTCATGAGGTGCTAGGATGAGACTGCCAAAACATTGTTTAAAATTTTCAATTAATCATTGATTAACAATCTACATTTTGTATCCCCTCATTTAGCCGCAATTATGCAGACCTGTGGTTATTTAGTTATACTAATCCCATTCAGATTTAAGTTGTGGGTTTCTATCTGTTGGACTGCAGTTTTTCATATTAAGCAAAATGTGTTTTAATCAGCACTAAAGAATTTAACCAGTATGAAGTACTTGCCTCAAATGCCTGGACTTTACATACTTTATGATCTACTAAAGGAAACATTTACCTTTTAAATGTAATCTGACTGGTTTTTTTAATTACTCCTCTTTTCCCTTCTCCCTGGCAATTACTTTATTTATCCTGAATGATTATTCTTTCAGTGTTTTCAACTCCCCTGGTAATAAAACTAATCAGTAGTTATTGGAGTGACTGCAGGCAGCTCATGAATGGAACTATGACAGATTAAGCTGTCCTTTGACATGCCAGGGCATAGGACTTTAAAATGGAAATACAAGAAATGTGGGTTGGGGGTTTTTTTAACCTTTTTTCTAGGTTTCAGAACATTTTTGGGAGGGAGGGAAGGAAGAACAGAAAGACACGTTTGCTAAACAAACATTGTAAAGACTACTTGATTTTATTTACAAATTTACAGGCATTTACAATGTTGCTGTGTTGCCAAATAGTTTGCTGGATACAGGTTTGGTTGCTCATGTGCAAGTGTTTGAATAATGTTCTGTTCATGATGAAGGGGAAATTTTTTATATAAAGTACTTGTTTTATAAATAAAAGAAAATGAAGGATGTAATTAAATGTGTGGTTTGGAAAAAAAAAATCCTAATATATTACAAATGGATCTGGTAATGATATATAGTTGTCTTATTTGAAATAGTAAATGAAAATTCTAGCTAATTTAATGATTGTAAAACAGTAAATATGTTCTTGTAGTTTTGTATAATTAATTAGTTGGGATCTTTGCTGACCAGTTTTAATTGTGCAGAAGATGGTATACTAATCCATAACAGCTAAGATCATTTATATTCTTGCACATCTATTAAAGACTTTAATGAAAAAGTTAATAGACTGTTATTATTTATCAGTAAACACAGCTGTGTCCACCTTGCACTTTTTTAAAGAGACCCCATTGTAAATTAAATCTATAGGACTCGTCCTGTATTTTGATACTGTATTTTGTGGTGATTCTGTATCTTTGGATGGCACCTGAACTGTAGGTTTTTGAGACAGACTAACAAACTTCAGTATCAGTTTTCTGAGTCGCACTCTTCTTCACCGTACGTGAAGGCAGTTGCGATCCAAATAGCTGAAACGGGCACAGTTGTACTACTCCTGCATACAACCCTTCGACAAGAAACTAATGTGAACTGTCAGGCTGTGCCTGGGGAATAAGATACCTGGTTCGGTAAACAAGTAACTTACTTGGGGGAAATGAACACCCTACTCCAGTTTAGTTCATCCCTTCCATTCCATTTGGTGGTCCTAAACTATCACTAATGTCATTTATTGCCATTCAAGGAAATGGTTGCTTTTCTCGAGCTTACTAAATGTTTATCTGCTACTATTAAGAAATTACCAAAATAGTAGATGAGTCTTCTGAATACTTTCTAGCCAAAACAAACTCTCAGGTGTTCTCTAATCTCCATCACTGAGGGTATTTAAGGGGAGAGGGAAGTGGAACTGATACAAAAAGCAGCTGTTTTGGCTGACTGACTATATGAAATCTTGCTTTGCATTTCAGTACTTCAGTGTTCTTTCTGGAGCCTAATTAGTTTAGACTAGTCATGTTAACCAAGTGGATACTGACTCATAACCTTACTTTGAAGGTTTCTGATTTTAGCGGTGTTTCTTCAGAAAGATAAAAAAAACCTTTATTTGGTCTGGGTTGTGTTTTATTTTAACATAGACAATACTCATAGAATCAACTGTACAATCAGAAGTTCTTGCTTAGATATTAAAATAATGAAAAATGCTAAGCTTGAATGACTTTTTAATTAAGCTTATTTTCACAGATTACTTGTTTAGAGAAAAAAGAGGTCAGTAAACTTTTGGATTCAATTAAATAATAGTTAATCTGTTGTTCAGCTGTTTTCTTCCACGCGTAGGGATTCAGAACAAATATGATGCTTCAGACAAAACAGGTTCTTCAGGGATTTACAATCGTACATTTTTTCAGAAGTACCCAGATTCCAGGAGTACCACGACTGATTTCCCTGGGGGCCTCTGGGACATCCTATAGCACCATTTTCAGAACTAGAACTACCTTACATGCATTTGAAAGGATTTAAACTAACAGGCAGGTGGCACTTGACCTTCTATCCAGTTACTGGTTTGTGATCCTTAGGCAAGGCTGAGGCAAGGATGTGCTTCCTTGACAAGTTTTTTCCTTCTCCTTTGAGAAAGGTTCATCCTTGGCCTTGCTCCTTTGCTCTTCGTTCTGGATTTACCACGTTACATCATCTGCACTTTCAGACAAGCACCTAGCAAGATGGCCATCAATATCCAGTTGTGACAGTCTGCAAATACAGAGAATTTGTTCAGTGAGAAACAAAGTCAAATACTTTTATTTATGCTACTCTTCACCTCGACTCTTGCGTTTCCTAAGCAATTGCAAAAGCGTTCTAGTAGCTTAACGGGTAAGTCATGCCTATGCTCAGAAGCACTGCAATCTGCCACAAACTCCTGTTGTTGCTATTACCTGCTGCTAGATAGTTTGGTAATGTCATTTACTAGAAGACAATGCTCACATTCTGTATGCTCAGGACAAGCAATGCTACCCTTGGAAACCTTAGGCTGCTGATACAGGACAGAAAACCATTACCTTATTCCGCATGCAAGTCCAAGCTGAGGATACAGGAAATGAGAGGTTTCTGATAGAGGAAGGATGCTTTCTCATGTCTGCTTTTAGTTTCCTTTTTTGGAGGGCTATTTCTGTGATTGTGACGTGACCCTCTCTGCTGCCCCTATTACAGTAACATTTGTAAAGCAGATTCTGTAAAAATTGAAACTAATCCTAATCAGCACAGAGTTACCAGTAGCACAGAACTGAATACGAAGACTGAAAGTATGGTTAGCCTTTCTGTCTAAATCTCTTGATACAATAATGACCACAACTTCCATTAATGAAACCATCCTTTTGTCTCATTGTTCAACCTCCAAGGAAAGCCAATATATCTTGCAGTGTTAGAGGACCTGTTGAAAAGCACGTGTTTTCAGCAGCTATGACAGCCTGAATACTACTAAATAGTGTTAATTTCAAGAGACAACATAATTCTTATTGTAGAGTAGATATTCAATTGCTGGGAGGGAGGATATTTTTTTTTTAAAAAAAAGGTAGCCTGACAACAATGGAGGACTGAAGTTTCATTTAGTCATACTAATCAGAGCTTGCAATGAAAAATCCACTTCCTTCCATCTTGCCCAGACCTTGAAAGCTAAATGAAGAGCACAGTTGCTCAGCCAAAGGCACCCAGGTACTTGCTGAACAGGTACCAGTACAGCTGTGACAGTGAATTAGCAGTAGGTAATTCTGACAGTTAAAGAGTACTTTACAGTAGAAGTTTTGTCTATTTTCATTATTTTGCATATAGAGAATGCATCCCGGAACCATTTTGGGTTTTGTATACTGTGAAGTTTTTGGAGAAAAAAAACAAGTACTTACGTTCCACTAAAATGAATCAGACACATCGGACAACTGTCAAGAGTTGAAGATCCTTCACTCTGATTTTGTGTCTTCTCCTTGCAGCTTTCAGTTCCAGGAGTGCTCACAAGAGGAG